TTATTTTCCACATACTGTACATTATTGTAACTCCTCTATGCCCCGCCTTTCTGACACGCCTAGATTTTTACAAAGCTCATCGAAAAGCGAGGTGTGCTCTGATTGGCCAGCTATCTAGTGCGTTGTGATTGGCCGAATTCCTCAAGCTTGTGACGGAAATGTGAGGCCCCTTACCATACTGTGATGCCGTGTCCCGGCGCCACAAGACAAAACCAATAAAACCCATTATAAACGAGGCATTTGTTGCATCCAGCGGGGACATAATTACTGATTAAAATTACTTATACTGTCTTTTTACGCGTTGCGTTGCATCGCACGCGTTTTTTCAGATGTATTTCCAAGAAAAAAACAGCGTCTTATATTCGGGACAATACGGTAATTTGAATTTTTTAAAACAATTGAAATATTATTGGGCCAGTGGAAATGAATGAGATCAACTCTATTCTAAATTAGTTTTCTGAGAACTATTTTAAACAGTTTTTTAATGGATATTTGATATATTTATTCTAAAACAATATACTATAACAAGAATACCGGATGAGTTTTAGCAATAAAAATGAATGTGTATGGCACAAATGGCATTTATAGTCCGTATCTCATATTTCCTTAATGTCTTGTACCTTTGATGGTGTTAAACATGGTGTCACGTGGATGGGAATATGCATAGAAATGATATGCAGATGAGGTTATGCATAGTAAAACTAGGCGTTGTAAGCTCCATATATGGTGATTTCGGGGAGGAGTCGGGGTGGAGATGCATGTATGCACAATCTTCCCCCCTGACTGGGATTTATAAAGGGATTTTTGCGCAGGTTCTGGCGTACGCATGGTTTTATAAATCTGAAAACTTTTGAGCGTACGCAAAATCTAGCTTTTGTACCTACGTACACTTTAAGAAATCTACGGAGAGTTTTATAAATGAGACCCCAGATCTGTATAAATTATCTATTCCCAACATCATAACTCCACTGCACTTCTCAAATTACACAAACACACACACACACACACACACACACAAAGATTCAAATCTTCAGTATTATGACACCAGGCTTGTTGGTACAAAAATATTCAGAGTCTGGATATTCACGAGCAGGAATCTTTGCAGCTAATATAAAACAATCCTCTAGCGATCTGGTATGGTGGAAACAAAGTAATTACCTGAAATTAATGAAATGACTGTAATTATGGTGATGTTGTTGGTTTTATGTGCACTAATGGTCAGGGAGGCAGTTGGAAAACCTGTCCCACTGTTGGAATTTACAAGAATCAAACTAATACCATGCTCTTAAATAGCTTATGTGTTAGTATAGAGGGAAGCTAAAACACATTTGAGGCTGAATATTGCCAAGAAACAACTTTGTTATCACCAATTGTAAATGCATATCTGCACACACCATGGCAGAGTCATTTACTAATAAAGCAGCCATACGTTCATAAATGACACTGCAGAAGAATTATTAAATGTTTGGTTATGTCTAATGTTTGAATTTGTTCTAGTCTAGATTATTAGACATAGGCCTAATGTAATGGTGCTTTGAAAGGCAATCTGACACTAGTTTCCATCTACTTTCATACAAAATAATTTCTCGTGTTTTTAAATTTGTTTTTATTTTTATACGGTTTTCAAATTATTCTACATTTCACTTCAGTTTCAGTTAGTTTCAGCAATGGTTTCGTTTATGTTTCCATCACTAAACTATTTATATTTCTAAGCAATCAGTTTTATTTCTGTTAGTTGTTTGATTGATTTCTTTGTTGTTGTTGTTTTTACCCTGTTGACTGACTGAGCGGAAAGACACCTGTTCTGTTAAGAACAAAACCTGTATTAGCTGCCACTTTTTCTGAGGAGAGAGTTGTAGCCTTCAGACGTTCACATTACCAGCATTCCTTTTGCGACACCTCTAGGTGGCAGGTGGAAATTACAGTGGATGCTATATAATTGACTATACAGTATATACTATATAACATATATAATTGACCATGTCTAATAAAGCGGTCTTCTTTTCCAGTTTTTCACACAGACAAAAAAGCATTCATACCACTTTCTATGAACAAAACCTTCAAAAGTCTAAAACAATAACCTGACCCTTGGAGAGGAGGAAAGAAAGTCGTAGAGGTTTAAAAAGGCATGGAGGTGAGTATTGTACATAATAACAGAATTTTTGTCACATGTGAAGACACTTACCTAGATAAACAGTTTTAAGCTCAAAATTCAAAGTTTGAAACTGATTAGAGAATAATTAAGATTAAAGTCTTGTCAGGAGCAATTAAACAGTAAAACACAAAGATGCAAAAGGTATGGGATGCATATGAACCTTGTAAGAGGATTTGTGTAAAGGACAAGAAACATGGTGATAGCAGAGCAGCAGGAACTGGAAAGTGAAAAAAGCTTTTATCATTTCTCATCCCCTTCTGTGAAAGATGTCCATTTATGCCAGCATCCTGCTATGCTATGCACAGCATTTGCCCCATTGTGTAGGTGATTATGTGTGCATGTATTTGATAGTTTCTTGTTTTACATGCATTTA